ACTTTTCCGGCACTGTGATGAAGCATGTCTTGCATCTGTTTCTGGAAGTCATCCCACCTGCTCAACATGGCAAGAACACTTCATGTATGTATAGATGTATGTTTATTATTAATAAATTTAGAACGAAAAGAAAGCTCAGTAATCTCTGTAGAACTAGAATCAAAATTTTGTTTACAGTGGTTTGCTGACAAGCACAAGCCAAATCCCATTTTCTGAAATTTCAAATGAACAACAAATAAAGATTTTCAGAAAACTTCTTACACATTCCACATCTACCAATCTTTGAATGATTTTCAAAATTAGTTACTATGGCAATATAACAAAATCTATTAACTATCCGAAAAGTAGAACTTGTTTATTTATTGAGTTTTAGGGTTTACGATTAATTCAATACTTCAAAATCCACATTATTTAAGTTTGAGTTAAAAGTTCTTTTTCCCTTTAACATATTTTCTCCTCTGGATTAATCCTCTTCCTCATTTTCTTACTTAGGGTTATCTACATCTTCGATATCCATGTCCAGTACTAAGATACGATTTTAGTTTTAACTACTTCTTAGCATATTCAATAGAGCAAATCTAGATTTGCTTCTCTAACTACAGAAATGCACTAGAGTTGGTGAGATAACTGGATTGACTTATGCATGGCATGCTAAGAGGTGTTTTATACTTGATGAAGAAATTATTTGAAATCAATATGTACCACACAATTCAGATATCTGAATTGAAGAAATCAAGAAACTTGAGATGCATCAGACCTGATATTTGGCCTGTCGAATAGCTGCGCTAGTTTCCTTTTATCAGGTTTAATTGTCTTCGCATGTCCTCCATTCAGATAGCGTCTGTGACCCATCAAGAAGTGGGGAAAATTTCCGCCTTGAGTCGTAACAAACACTTCACTGTGAAGGCACACAGTGTAGTCAAGAGCAGCCAATCTAGATGAATGACCCTGCATGAAAGCCCAACATCACAAGAATTGATTTCACCAGATTTTAGCAAAAGGTTACTCTTTCCCAGTTAAGTTATAAAGAGCATGTCATGAAACCCATACAATACCTTAAATGGAGCAAGTTCATCTGAAGTAGCTATCGTATCCTTAGTTTCTAAACGTGGGAACATTTGTATAAGAGGAGCCATATACTTCTCTGCCTTATAAATTTTTCCTGCTGCAACATATACCGAGGTAGTATTATCAAAACCCATGCCCCTAAGCATCATTCCTACCTGCCAAACCATATACATAGGTAATGGATATATAAAATATTTTATAAAAGAGCAAAAATCATTTTATCAAGAAAAAAGTATAAACCAGGAATATGAGAATTTATTTGAGAAATATCAACAATGACGCCACCAGTTTTTGGATAGAACTATGTGAGATACCTCCAGTGGAGTCAAAGGGCATTTTCCATCCACACGGTTCACCCCGGGCCTTATAACTCTACCTCTTCTCCTGAATTTTCCTCTCCAACCTCTTTCTCGAGCCATATCCATTTCTTGCTTCTCATCCTCCCCGCCATCATATTCACAGCATGAAAATGCAACCATGTCCTTTAAAAGAGAAGGAAATGGAACTTTTGAGTACATATAAACTCAAGTCAATTAATTGACATCTCTAGAAATGTACGTGGGAGAGAGTAAGACCATTTCAAACCGAAGATGTACAGATACATATTTTCCTCCGCTCAAGGAACTCTTATTAATCATTCGATCAACCATCTTCTCTGCAAGAGTTCTTATAGGTTCTGAAAATCTCAGTGCCTCAAAATTAGCTAAGCATCTAAGGCCTTGAACATGTGAAGGAACTGCATGAGCCAATCTGTTAGAGAAAGGTGCAATTCGAACAGCCCTAAAACAAGAAATAAAGAGATTGCATCATTTTACCCTGCAATATGCTTAAAGCCTATGACTTAAATAAGAAATTGACTAAAATGCTGCATGAACTATTACAAAATACCATATGAAACAAACACATTCGAAGACTACTAAACTCTTCTGTGCAAGAAATAAAAACTTGATATTCATTAGCATGCATGGACACACGCATATATAAGAAAAAAATCCAACCACATGGGACATTTTGCATCTTTCTGGAGAGAACATTGTTCGCTATGCTTGCAATCAAATGCAGTCCAACCCAGTGTAAATCCTAGCATTGGGAATGGTTTGCATGGTTAAGTCTCAAGTTGAATAATAAATTATTGGCCTTTCCTCAGTTCAGCTGGACAGGAGTTTAATATTTCCAACGCTAGTCCAATGCAAAAGCCTAATCTAGACATTTTTATGTATACCTCTTGTAAATAGATAATCATGTAGATATTAATTGCGATTGGTTCGATATTCACTCCAAGATTACTTAATTCCTATATCTCATCTTCATGCTACTTTTCATTTAGAATTAGAAAATAGTTTGCATTTTCATGTCAACCTCAACCCCACCTGAAGCCCCTTGGAGGTAGGAATTCAACTTTAACTTCCATTAATAGCAATTGACTCCCATCCCCAGAGTATTCAAACACGATTTAACATTTCAAATATTTTCTCATAATATATGTCAAATTTAATATGAAGATTAGAGGTGAATGGGGAAATGAAAACAAATACAATCTTAATAGTCTTGCTCCTTGACTTCCTGTCAGAGCTGAATGAATCGGCCCCTTCCTAAACCAACCGGAAAACCATGCAACCAGAACGGATTACGATGAAATTTTATATCACTTAAGTACATCCTTTATGTTGGTGATCCTCTACTTCAATGATCTGTGACTCCATATTCAGGACTTTGATTAAAAATTCGGTGTGTACAAGCCAGCTCTGACCCAAAAGTGAGCCTACTGGTTAAAAAAATTTACAGAACTCACTCACAAACTCAAGTTTAGTTCAACTAGAAGAGGATATATATTGTACTAGAAGAAAATAAAATTGGTATGATATGGGGTTCTATGTGAAATTGAAACAATATCTTGAATTCCATCAATTTTGGTGAATACATTATTCCAGTTATATATGAAATTCATATTTAGTAAAATTTTATTGTTTAAGGAGAATTTTCAGCATCTTTTAGCTAAATTAAGTGCGGGTTTACAAATGAATTCCACAATTTTTCTGAATTTATTCCAAACAAACCAGACCATAAGGTATTATTCAACAAGTTGAAGGCCCTTAAAAGACTATATAATCTTCCTAGCTCCACAAACTGCATTTGATGTAGAATTTGATATTAACAAGTTGGCATGACGCAGGGCCGTATACACAATCTAGATATAGGCGTGGTGAAATTATCAGAAAGTACTATGAAAGTTAGCTGAAAACAGGAGCAAATGTGGATGGCAGTCCTAATATTTTCTCGGAGAATTGCGAACCAACCCTTATTGACAATGAAGAGAAGAGATACAAGAGAAGACATACCTCATCTGCATCAGCTTTGGGAGGACCTTTTGGACATAATAGACAGGACTTGACCATGCTTTTACTCTCAAATTCACAATGCTGCTTATGTTGTTGTTGTACTGCTCGAGTATGTCCCCTGGGAGCTCTCTGACTATATTCACATTATTTCTAAGAGCATGAATAAAAAATTCTTCATCAAATATGTTCCCAAATTTGCTGCAACCAACGGAAAAATATGCAAGGTCAGAAATAATCTACTCAATTATTTCAGATATTGTGCAAGGTCAGAAATAATCTACTCAATGATTTCAGCATAGACAACAAAAAAAAAGTATGGCGTACTCATAGATGGTGTGATGAAGAAGATTAGTGAGAATTAACAATAGGAGATTATGCAGCACAGACAACAAAAGAAAAGTATGGTGTATTCTTAGATTGGGGAGTGTGAGTTAGAATGAAGAAAAATTGTGAGAATTAACAATAGAAAAAAAACAATTACCATTTGTTACCACGACAGATCTGTAAAATCTATGAAAGAGAAGAGTACCAAAAAAGATAAAAGTAACAATCCTAAATATTACATACATATGACAGTTTGATCTCAGAAGATGGTATCAAAGTCAAAACTTAAAAGAGTTCAAAATAACCCACAAATTAACTAATGGGACAAGATAGATAAGTTTCTTCCCTCTCTTATCAACTAAAATGCCTTGCCAAACCTACAACCTGCCACTAAAGAAGCCATGACACACTGATTTTTGGAGGAGATTCAAGAACATAGACCATAAACACTATGAAGCTGTGCATCTTAACAAAGATGATCTGGAGCCAGTCCCGTTGCTTCTCTTGCTACTTAGTTTGCTATTAAGGTTGCCTTCTTTCCTTTCACTATTCCTTGATGTATACGCATGCGAGAAGATGAGGATGTTGTCTTAAGTCAGAGTAAGCACATCCATGAATTGATAAAACAGTGGCTTGTGCAAGGTGAAGAAACAACCATTCACCGAAACCCTAACTTTTTTTTTAGAGGAATTGAAAAAGCAACAACAAGGTTCCACTCTTATACAAAAGGATAAGAACATTGAGAGCAGAAAAATGTCTGTGATGAGCCTTAAAAAGGATAGATTAATCTCTAAGTAAAAGATTAATGATCTAGAAATGATGCTCTCTAATAATACATATGAGGGAACCTTGTCCTTGAAAACTCTATTGTTTTCTTTCCTTCCAAATTGCCACATTGCAGCCAAAGAAATGAGGGATGAGCTTCTTATCCTTGTAAGTAGAACGACCATCTCAACCCACAGTTCTTCTGCCATCAATCCGCTTGTAACCCAAGAGAGATTGAGGGGACTAACAGGCTAATCTCATGCTCTTCTAGACTCGGGAACAAGGGGATTAGATGATTAGGGGATTTATTCTCCTGGAGAAAAATTGGGCGCCCTTCACTATAATATACCACTTTTTCCTAAGATTGTAAAAGGTGAGCATTTGCCTGGGGCAAAGCTTCCCAAGCAAAGAAAGCAATATGAGGCAATGTTCTTCTTCCAGATTTGCATCAAAGGAAATTGAAAACATTAACCAATTGCCTAAGGAGATTTTGAAACAGATAATACACCATTCCTTGGAAGTGAGTTGAAAACATACTTATCAGAAACATTCAGGTCCACCTGACATCAAAACAAGAAAAGCAATAATGAGAACAAGTCATCAATATTCCAACTATTTAAGTTACAAGCTAGAGAAATGTTATAGGAGGAAGTTTTATGGACATTCAATTCATGAGATACCTAAGAATCTTTATCTCTAACAATCTCAAAGAGTCTGGAGTCTTTATCGTATGACTGTCTTACAATGGAAATTTTCCATCCTCTCCCATCCAAGCCATATTGTGATAAGTCCTCCTTCCCAACAAAGATCTAACACTAAGCCCCAACACCTTGGCATTGGGTAGACTCTATGGAAGATTTGCAAATCCAATAGAAGAGGATTGAGTTCCACATGTTGAGATCCTTGAAATTCACACCAAGAAGCAAACCAATACACTTGACGGGGACAAAAACCACTCTAAATCCTAACACCCTAGGATCCTACCTTTCCTAATGAGATTATTTTTTAGAAAATAACTTAATGAGATTATCAATAATGAAAATGCAGCCATGGGCAACTTCCCAAGTAAGAAAAGTGATTCTAGGTGAAGCATTTTCCCTACAATATGCTTCATGGGGAAAAGGAAACATCCAATGAGGGATAAGTGATGTGAAAGCAGAACTTAGACTGAAAAGGAGCTTCTTGGACAAAGCTTCCAAACTGGTTCATCCTCCCTAGATTGGACAATGTGCACTATGTAAATTATGGTAAACAAAAGCAGTTTTCTTCCCACCCAATCATTCAAACTCTTCACTATTCCAACCTTCCATACCAATTTGCCACCAACCAGTGAGAACAGGCACTAATAAGAGCATCTTTCTTTCTAGACAATTTAGCAAATCGAATAACTAAATTCCGAGAAAAGAAATGCCATTCCGGATGCCATCCCAAGATTGAACTCTTTCCTATTGCCCACCTAGAAATGAATACACAACTCAAAATCATCTCACACCTTAATGATCTACCTCAGTGGACTAGAGCCATATGGATCCCTTGACCTTATAGTCCTCCAACCTCTTTCCTCCAACCAATACTTTTCCATAATCACCCTCCATCGCAAGATCCCTACTTAGTCATAATTCCTGGAGCCATTTACTAGGTAGCACTCTAATAGTGAAGCTAACCAAGATTTGATTCCAAGATCCAAGTTCAAGGTAAGTTCTCCTACATTCTAATCCACCAACTAGAATCTTCTTTGCTCCTTTGCATCATCTCACAAAGAAACAAGAGTTTGAATCCTAATTGTCCTACTTCAATCAAAACCAAATTTCGGCACATGGTACAAGACGTGTTTTCTCCATGCCTTTAGCCTGCTGGAACAGAGCTTGAGGGAATGTGTTAAAGTTAAATAATAAACTTAGGTAATTTCTTCCTAGCTAAAGTTTTTGAACGATTTGTTGGTTAAACTACTTCATTGTAACCGAAATCTCTTCTCCCTTTTAGTTTATTTTCAAAAGAAACTCCCCAAAAAATTTATTGAAAAGCTTCACACGGTATTCTTGTGCTAAATAACACCTAACTATAATCGCTATTCTGTTCATAGTATACCTTCTTGCAAGTCAATGACAGAATTTGGTCCCTCTATTCAAAGGGTTGAATCCTTCCACCTTATAGTCTACTCGTTATGAAATAGAAATTGTTTTTTCTGAACAATTCTCTATTTATTTTTAAGAGTCAAATTTGGGGGGATGCGATTCTTGTTTTTAATGATTAAGAGGGAAGAGTTACTTCTTTTTCACCACTTGACTCAATTTCAAATAACAGACACTTGTGATCCAAGAAAGATCAAAACATTGATTCCAAGCTACTGCTTTGGCCATAAACTATAAACCAGACTTCTTCCACTTATATTTTAGACTTATGTCCTAGCTCTTCGTCATATAACCCTCCCCCTCCCCTCCATCCCTCCCCCACCCCGCCAAAAAAGAAAAAGAAAAAGACACCGAAAGCTAAAAGATTACTCAGGTAAGAGAACTCTTCCCAACTCCTTCAAGTGAGCTCTGTATCATTTTTATGAAAATCCCAGCATAGCAATTGCAGTACTAGTGTAGGGTGGCAGTTGAGAACTTTTTCAAGTTTTGGAAACTATAAAATGCCTAAAATTAATCAAAGATCTCTTAAACCTGCAAATGCATTCACATTTCAATTGTGTTAATAACAATGATATTAAGGAAGACTGAATCTAAATGATAAAGATTCCACAACAGCAAAAGCACAACGATGAGTAAAAGTAAAATAATAACAACCTGGAATCACGCCAAACACTATTTAAGTGAAAAATTGGAACGACAAGCGTAGCATTCAGTAGTCCTGCCACAGCAACTGCATCGCATATCTAAACAGAGACAATGAAAGGCTAAATTAATAACAAAGTTGTGATTCACACTTCAAAACCACATACCAACAAGTCAATTACCAATTGAACATACTGACAATGGAGGGAGGAGACACTACCAAAGATTGTCAAAATCAAAATTAGCAAAATTTATTCACAAAATAGAAGCAAAGGTATTATTTGACTTTTTCTAATGAAAATATCTTTTGCTATCTTAACTAAGCACAAAAGCATCGAACAACGTGTCTTCAAAAAATGTTCATGAATGATCCATACTGCTTAAATCTGATACCAATATCATTCTATGAAGCTAAAAGTTTGACATATAATGTTTGGTCTGTTAGAAGAACCATAAGATGAATTGTCCACTACATCACATTATGATTTTTGAACTTCTTTTCAAATATTGAAAAAGTGTGAAGAATGGTTGGTTTTATATTTCATTGAATATCACAGCCCCTATATATACAAAAGGAAATAGACAAGTAGTTACATATAATGTTTTTTACTCCTATACCTTTTAACCTAATTTACATAAAATACGCTTTGTTTGATACTCTTCCTCAAGCTGGAGAATAAATATTGTTCATCCCCATCTTGCCAATAATAGTATAGAATGTTGGATTGCTCAACCGTTTAGTCAACACATCTGCTAACTGTGATATATTAAGCATTTATGGAGTACATATTAGGCCACTGTCAAGTTCTCTCTGATAAAATGTCTGTCGACCTCAATATGCTTGATCCAGTCATATTGTACCAAATTATGTACAATACTTGTGGCTGACTTGCTGTCCCAATATAAGCACATAGAGTTCTCCCACTTTATTCTTAAACTTTCTAATCTTATCCATAATAGTTCAAATATTCCTTGGGCCATTGCTCGAAATATTGATTTTGCACTTGATTTGCTAACTATATTTTATTTTTTACTTCTCTAAGTAACTAGGTTACTCCAAAAAAAGGTACACTAACCTATGGTAGATCTTTTATCTATCATTGACCCTGCATAATCTGCACTTGTATAGGCTTCTAAAAGCAACCTATTACTCTTCTTGAACAAGATCGGTGACCATTTTTTGTAATGCAGCACTTTGTAAGTTGTCTGTAAGTGCATTTTTTTAGGACTGTGCATGAACTAATTTATAATACTTACTACATTGACAATATTTGGTCTTATGTTGGACATGTATATCAAATCTCCCAATTAATCTCTCGTACATTTTCTTATCTATTGGTGTATCTTCTTTGTTACTTCTAATTTATAATTGAGATCTATAGAAGTACTAATTGATTTATATACTAATTAACTTGTTAGTATCTTTCAACTGGTCATGAATGTATTTCTGCTGAGAAATGAAGATCTTAGATTTTGAGCGGGTGACTTCGATTACAAGAAAATACTTCAACTTATCTAACTCATTAATTTTGAATCTCTTGTCATGCATTGCTTTAGTATCAATTTTTCTTTTTCGTTATCTCCTATTATAATAATGTCATCAACACATAGTAGGAGAGTTATAACTTCTCCTATCTTTGAGAGCTTGATAAACAGAGTATGACCTCTTTGATTTGCTAGTATCTCAGGCTTATTATCACCCATAAGAATCTATTAAGTCATACTTTTAGTGATTGCTTGTGTCCATAGAGTATCTTCTTCAATTTATACACTTTATTTTGTCCGACTTCTCTGGCAAAACCTGGTGAAATTTCTATGTAGATTTTTCTTCTAAGTATTTATGTAAAAAAGCATTATTCATATCAAACTTTTGCAGTTGCCAATCAAAATGGACAGCTAAGGATAGCAAGATTTGTACTGTATTCATCTTGCCTAGTGGTGCAAATGTTTCTTAACAGTCTATCCTACAAATTTGTGCATAACCTTTTACTATCACTCTTACTTTATACCTCTCGAATGTATCATCTATGTTGTATTTGATAATGAATATCCACTTAAATCTTGCAGGTTTTTTTCTTTGGGTAGATCCACTATTTCTCATGTTTGATTATGAATACCCACTATTTCTCATGATTGTACCATCAGACATCTTTAATGACTTCCATAATCACAGCTCCTTTGTTAGATCCCTAAATTCTACCTTTCTTGTTATGATCTCAAAAAAAGCCCACCTCAAGAATCTTAATGATTTTCGACCAATCAGTTTCATTGCTTGCATGTACAAATTGCTCTCTAAAGTTTTAGCTAAAAAGTTGTCCAAGACGCTTAATCACATCATCGAGGAATGTCAACATGCCTTTGTGTTTGGGAGACAGACAACCGGTGTCATTCTGATCGCTAATGAAATAGTGGATGATGTCATTAGATACAACAAGAAAGGTATTTTATGCAAGTTTGACATGGAAAAGGCCTTTGATCATGTAAACTCGGATTTTTAGACTACATGCAACAAAGACTCAGTTTTGGATCAAAATGGAGAAGCTGGATAAGAACATGCGTCACCTCCACTAGCTTCGCTGTGATTGTCAATGGCGGGCCCTCCACCTTTTTCAATGCCTCAAGAGGGTTGAGGCAAGGGGATCCTCTCCCCCCCCTCTTCTATTTATCATCATGATGGAGGCTCTAGATAAACTCCTAGAGAAAGTCAAAGTTCTGCAACTGAATAAAGGGATCACCGTAGGAAACAGAGAGAAAAAGACTGAAATTTCTCACCTGTTTCTCGCTGACGACATGCTAATCTTCTGCCAACCTGACACCCGATCCCTCCTCTTTCTGAAATGTATCTTGCTATGTTTTCAAGCAGTTTTTGGGCTGAAAATTAATCTCCACAAATCTGATATGGTTGAACTGGGAAACTGCAATCCAAGTGAAAATTTTAATCTGGTCTTTGGCCGTAAACAAACTCAGCTGCCCATTACTTGCCTCAGGGTTCCGCTGGCACCAAGCATAATGACAACAGGTGCTGGGAACCGATGGTGGATATGTTTAATAACAGATTAGCGACATGGAAGAAAAAATTAATTTCCAAAGGAAGAAGACTGACCCTGATTAAAAGTACTCTTTCTAACCTTCCCATTTACTATTTATCAATGTTCAACATTCCTTTAAAAGTGGCTAAAAAATTGGAGACCATCCAATGCAATTTTTTATGGGGTGATAGTGATAGCTGGAAGAAATATCATCTAGTTAATTGGATGGATGCCAAAAAACTCTTGAGAGATGGCGGTTTGGGACTAAGATCACTGGTGAAGTTAAACAAAGCTCTTCTTGGGAAATGGATTTGGAGATTCTGGAACGAAAACAATAGCCTCTGAAAAATGGTCATAGACTGCAAATGGTTTAACGGTAATCCTCATGATCTTTCATGCATTAAGAAATGCAATTATGGCTTAAGTCTTTGGAAGAACATCATGAATCTCAACTCTGCTATTTTTCATTGCTCTAAGTGGATTTTTGGTAACGGACACAATATTCGCCTTTGGGAAGACATCTGGTGTGGAACGGAAAAACTACAAGACAGATTACCCCTCATTTTTGCTATTGCAAGGAATAAATTATCCACGGTCACTGAGGCTGCTGGTTCTGATATCCCAGGTTCGTGGAACGTCCCAGTAATCAGGAATTTACAAGATTAGGAGTTGGAAGAATGTGAGTCTCTGCTTCTCACTTTGGCAAACATCCGACTCTCAAATAGGGAGGACAAGCCCAACTGGAATCTAAAGAAGAACGACCAATTCACTGTTAGCTCTCTCTACCATTATCTAAACGGCAATACCACTGACGGACAGAAGAAATTCCCCTCGAAAATCATTTGGAACTCTGGTACTCCCCTAGGATATCATTTTTTGCTTGGGAGGCTGTCAAAGACAGAATTCTCAGCATGGATAACTTGATGAAAAGATGCTACACTACTGTTAACAGACATTTTCTCTGTAAAAACTCTCAGGAATCTTGCAATCATCTACTTCAGGACTGCTCTACCTCTTACGAGCTATGGTCCATGGCTTTTGGGCATCTCCTGGGTTATGGCTGACAAGATCAATACTGAACTTTTGACTTGGGAGGAACTGGGCAACAACAACAAATCAATTAAACTTATTCCCCTTACCATTTTTTGGGTTATTTGGAAAGAAAAATATAATCAGGCTTTCGAGGAGATAGAATTAGATTTTAATACCACCAAAGATAACTAATTACGCTATTTTGATTCTACTGTTTTAGGGTATAATCTTAATTAATTTTAATGATTTAGGCTTCATTGTAGATATGCTAATTGATTTGTAAATTTTGTACATGGGTGGTGCTCCCTTAACACCTTACATCAATAAAACTTCACACTTTTATTTCAAAAAAAAAATTCTAGTGTATGCATTTCTATATTCACAGCACTTTTTCGTTTTTTACAAAATAATGTCTCATATATAATGTTAGGAATAAACTCAACATTCAAACTTGAAATAAAACTTTTATAGGATTGTAAATACTCAGCAAATGACAAACTGTGAGAGAGGATAAAGAGAATATTTAGTACATTCCTTGATACTTTTGCAACGTGTAATATATATATTATTATCAGAATATATAGGTTTTTTGAGACTTCAATTCCAGAATTAAGGTAGGATACTTGGACCAGCTTAGCCTCTGAACCTGGATTCTTCCTCCTTGTATACAATTGAGCGAACCTAGAGTCAAATATGGTCTCTTAAGTGGGTGAGTTTTCTAGTGGGTTCTGAAGGCTTTCTTGTGGGAGTGGTTTTGAAGTGTTACAAAGATATAAGGCAAGAATCAGTTAAGAAACTTATATTTTTATCTTCTAATATAGACTTCCTCTAGAGATAAGATTTAGTTATGATTCTTTTTCAACAAACATGACATCCATTGACACATAAAATTTTTATGCAGGCGAATGGTGATATTTGTACCCTTTTTGAGAGGAGGACATCACAAACATACATTTCAGAGTTCGAAAATCAAGTTTTTCTCTTTAATGAGAATAAACACGAACAAAAGCTATACATCCAAATATTTGAGGAACCAGATAGTTTGTGGCACTTACTTCTGGTTAAAACTTGGGGAGTGATGCTAGAAGTCTTTTGAAGTCTAGAACATTGTAGATAAGCAGTTAATAATGTAGGCAGCTGTAAGGACTGTTTCCCCCCAATATTGCTTTTAGGACGTGGTTTTGGAAGAGCAAGGCTCTAGTAGTGACTAGAAGATAATTATGCTTGCGTTCTGCTACTCCGTTTTGTTGTATGCAAGATGAGTTATGAAGAATCCATTGGATTTTTGCAAAATCTTTTTTATGGGGGTTCCACATTGGATTTTTATTATGTTGCAACTAGGATATCATATAATTAATATCATATTATTTGTCTTTAAGTAAATAAAGTTAAGTGATCTACTGCAATCATCAATAAATGACACAAAATATCGAACCTAACAAATATTAAATGTGTGAGTCGGTCCCCACATGTCACTATAGATTAATGAAAAAAGAATTGAACTTCTTTAATCACTAAAAGAAAATGTTACACATTTATATTTGACAAACTCATATACATCGCTATGTAAATTTCATAATCTGAATTTTTAAATAATAAGGGAAACATAACTTTAAAAATAGAAAAATTGGGTGGCATTTTTATGGTAGAGCTAAAACTTGTCGTATAGGGTTGATAGTAACAATAGAAAAAGATCTTCAATGTGCATCCAAGTAGTAGAATACGTTTCTAACTTCAGCATATCCAATCAGCTTTCCATAGTTCTAGTACTGCAAGTCATGGCAACAGGAAAAATAAATTATTTTATAGTTCAAATCTTGTGATAACTTAGTGATTGACACAAAATTGATACACAAGTTCGGTACATGTAACACATTTTCTACAACCAAGGTAGGACCATATGCAGTGATAATTTTCTATTAGTTGGACAGAGAACTTAAGTGTGAAAGTGTTTAGAAATATTGGTCATATGATCACTGGCTCTTGAATTACAATCCAAAAATTTTTAAATGGTTTATCTAAAACATCCAAACCATCTGAGAAGAAAAATATACTCGAGTGTGTCATAGCACCTGTATCTTATAGGTTTCTCAAGATCCTCCAATCAATTTCACAGTCATTCAATTTTAACTTTGAATGTAGATTTCTCTTTCCCCGACTAGTTGACCACATAAACTTGTTTAGGAATCTTCTATGAAGTAGTTTGTGTATCCTCGTTCCTTGCTAGAGATATTGGGCTTATCATGTAGTTTCCAATATTTTGCCTTGGTGTGTTTCAGTTTCTTGCAAAAAGTATACTAACGATTATCCCTATTATCTACTCTAGGAGATGAGTTCTCAGTGTGACTCAGTTCCTTTATTTGTTGGGAGATTTGGAGCCTCATGAGATCAATGCTAAGCTATCAGTGGAGTGGGGTTCTAGCACGACCCATCACTTACTATCTTCCACAATTAGAATGAAAATTACCTTATTGAATAATGATGTTTCCTCCTTTCCTAAAATTTGAATTCTTACCCAATTGAATTCAGGATTTAGTCTTACCAAAAATTGATAGGCACAGTCTTTTTCCACAAATTTCTTGATACGGACTACATCTTCACTGCAATTCATGGTAAGCTTATGTTACCGGTCTAGTTCATTCCACCAATTTTTTAACATATTAGAATATTCATTGACTGACGTATGTCTTTACTTGGTGGATTACGTCTTAATAGTTAGATCATAAATTTGCGCAGCATCATTGACTTTAAAATCTTGTCGTTGCAACCCACACTTCTTTTGCTATAGGCAGAAACACCACGGTCTTGCTAATTTCTGAAGTCTTGGAATTCTAAAGCAATGCCATGATCATTAAGTCGTCTTCATCCCAAGCATCAAAGATTAGAACTTTGGGTCTTGGTCCGATAACCAAAAGATAGTTTACCTTCCTTTTTCCTTGAGAATGTTCTAGATTAATTAGACTAACTCAAATAATCATCGCCTATGAAATGATAAGCAGCCTGAATTGATTAAAATTCGCTACTATTTTATGTGGAATTTCCCACATGGGAGCTTGATCTAGTGTTTTGGATATTTCCTCTGACATCTTTCTAGAGTTGTAAGGCAATTAAGGCCAAATAAAATGTCATAGGAAGATGTCATTAGTAGGTAGCATGGCTTATGCCCTAGATAAAACCACCGCTTGGAGCAACTAAGTAGGAAGGCGGTAGCATGGGTCTTGGAAATGCATGCAGCAAGAGGGGACCACGGCTAGTCGTGCACTCAGTTGGTTGTTTGCGATTGAGGAGGCTAGGCACGTAACAGAGTAGTTGAGTACACAACTATGGCGAAGTTGTGTAGGTGCAGGCATAAGTTTCAGGTAACTTGTAGTTGAGCAGTTCCTTCTAGCTGCTTCTAACCGTGAGGTTCTGGTGGCTACGGCTGGCTATGAAAGTCGGTTTGTGGTGGATATGGTCAATCTGTGATGGCCGACACCTAGCACTGTGATGGCCGACAATAAAGGCTAACTTTTTTATGGTTTTCTTATTTCAATAATAAAGGCAGAATAAGGTTTGTGAAAAAGTCTAGGGTTTCTTAACCTAAACCTTAATACTATGTTAAGAATGATTGATTGTATATTTCATTGAATATTACAGATCTATAAAAGCAATAGAAAAATTAATTACACGTTGTGTATATGACTCTTATATCATTTAACTTAATTTACATAAAATACACTCTTTAACATAAAGCAACATATACGATTGCACCCTTTTAGTGCCCATTAATCTTATTTCTTTTTCCCTCTAAAATGTTGAAAGATAGAAGGAAAAGAATCTCAACTAGCAAAACATACTGATAAGCGTTGTTGGTTCAAGCCACCATTTGCTTCAATGATAAGGAAACCATTGGCCTTCGGCAATT